CGCATGCATATTTTAACTCTTTGTGTTTGAAACAAAGGTCTAGGTTTTAGAAAATGAGAGGATAAGTGAAGGGTAAAGGTAAATACTTTACTAGGCCACTAACTACTAAAGGGTGTGCAAGATAAAAACTTTTGTGGGGACATTAGTGCCACATGGGAGGATGAGTGAGGATAAAATCAAATATTTTACTAGGGTACTACTAAAGTGCATGTATAGAAAAACTTGTCACGTAGTAGGACGAGTGATAGGAAAGTCTCGACCCGAGTTTCTAATGTGTGTTTGTGAGAAAATCTTCATTTCTTTGTAGCTTTAGACTATCGTTTGTATTAAAAAAAACAATTCACTACTTACAAAAACAAGGGTGAAAGACTATGATACAAAATATAGTTTAAAGATGCATACAATTCCACTTGCATGGATTCCATATCTATGAATCCTGCCTTTTAGCAATTGAGCAAATCTTTTATACCTAGACACTTAGATACAATCTTATAACTTAGATCTTAATTAAGATTTGTGTAATCATACTAATTTTGGCACCATTTCTGCATTCACTCAAATAAAAAACTTAAAGTAATTCTCAAGAACAGCAATTGGCTCCTTCCCTAATGAAATTCTATCTCAACAAAAATATCAAGATCCATCCAGCTTTAAATAAACCAAAATGGGACACAACTATATACAGATCATCATCATCAACTCACGGAGTTTCCAAAATACGACAACAGCCTATATGTTTCTAGAAACTCTTGGTTATAAAATTGTGCCTTGTAACCCCACATTATGCCCTAAATTTATCCTAAATCTACTTTGAAATGACACCTGTAAAGTAAAACAAAGCAAAGGGTAGTAGAATAAGGAACCCACATCAGATTTTTCTAGCTTAAGGTTAAGCACAGATGACATTGACATCCTTAGCTATTAAAATAAGTTTTAAGGGGGTTCACTTTTCTTGATTATCCGTACTAAGCACGGATTAGCATTGTCTCCAGAAATGTTAATTAATAATTAAAAAGGAAAAGAATAAATCAGATGTGATGATTCGGTGCTAACAAACGTGTGAGTATCTCATGCCTAATTTATGTCATTGTACAAGGGAGACTATCGAGTTAAAAGAAACATTTTACAGTTGCTGCACTATGAAAATTATCGAGTGTAGAAGCACTTTATTGCACAACCCAACAAGAGAGAGAGAGGTGTGACCGCATATGACTTTGGTGACGTTCCAAAATCATTAGTCCCCAACAAGAGAGAGAGAGGTGTGACCACATATGGCTTTGGTGATGTTCCAAAATCATTAGTCCCCTCAAAATGTACACCTGTTCATATTATTATAGTATTTTATAATTTCTCCTTCAAGATAATAGCCCCAAAGTATATTTAAATGATTTAATTTCAGATTTAATTGTGATTATTTGAAACAATCACATTAAGAAGTAAGTAAATCCAGCACCTGGTGCAAGCCCATTGGCCCTCTACTTAAAATCAGATTTAATTGTGATTATTTGAAACAATCACATTAAGAAGTAAGTAAATCCAGCACCTGGTGCAAGCCCATTGGCCCTCTAGTAATTTTCAAGTTAAGAAAGTTCCAACACCCACTTATTTCTACAGTGAAATTTCTTAAATTATCCTTAATTAGCATGCTATGAAGCTACTAGTTCTTCTTGTCCAAATGCATAAGCTCTACATACGTGGCCTCACGCCATGGGATCCTTTATCTATCTTTTGTCTCACTTTAGCATCCAACACTTTAATTTCAACTAAAAGATTTGCATCCTTACTAGAATATGTCACCCAATACAATAGCAAAACTTTTGGTTTCCCCAAATGCCCATGTTTGAGCGAAATATTTTTAACTGCATGATTGAAATAACTCATACGCTTGATTGATATAAAGTTTGTAGTTGACAGAAGTTTAATAACTACTTATTCGCGTAGGTGACAATCGCTAGCAAATGTCTTGTAGTTTATTTTTTTCACTAAACATGAGAGTGACTTTGAACCGTTGATGTGCGGGAATGATTGTCACTACTATCACATGTCTTCTAGTTGATTCTTGGTGTAAAATATCACACATTAAAGGTGAGGATAGAGATGATGATAAAGAGACAAAAAGAAATCATGGAACAATCTCAGACAAATCACAAATGGATATAAGCGTGGCAGAGTGGTTCTGTCATTACAGATCTGATGACGGAATTTGTGAGAGATCAGATCACCCGTACCTTAATTAAAAAAGTCGAAAGCATAGGGAGGATTTGAAAATGACAGTAAATTGACTGATGGAACAAAGTAAGGGGGGCTAGTGGTTATGCTGCAGATATATAAATATGCAACCAAAGATAAGCAAAATGCCATAAGGTTTTTCAAGACAAACTTTACAAGCTAAGCAAACACATAAAAATTCAGAGTTTTTGACATGTATTTGGGGATGATGGCAGGTCATCATATGGGTTGGGGTAGAATAGAAGAAGAGGGTTGGAGAAAAGGACCTTGGACTGCTGAGGAAGATGGGTTGCTTATTGAGTATGTAAAGCTTCATGGTGAAGGAAGATGGAACTCTGTGGCTAGGCTTGCAGGTATTTATAATTACAGCTTAATTCTTAATTAGATGCAGTTTGTATTATGTCTAATTATGGTTAACAAAAGCATCAAAATTGTACACTTTGATTATTCAGGACTGAAAAGGAATGGAAAGAGTTGCAGATTGAGATGGGTGAATTACTTGAGGCCAGAACTTAAGAGGGGGCAGATAACTCCACATGAAGAGAGCATAATTCTAGAGCTACATGCTAGATGGGGGAATAGGTATGTCTTCTTCTTTTTTGTTCTATTTTTGGTTTGATATTTTTCCTGTTTTAGCGAGCTTAGTTTCTGCTTTGAAAAAATTCAGGTGGTCAACAATTGCAAGAAGCTTGCCTGGAAGGACTGACAATGAGATCAAGAACTACTGGAGAACCCATTTCAAGAAAAAGGCAAAACTGCCTTCCGATGCCTCCGACAAGGCGAAAAATCGCTTCTTGAGGAGGAAGCAATTTCACAATCAGCAACATCAGCAGCAGCAACAGCAACATTTACAAGTGAATCAAGAAGAAGTGAAAAGAATCATGGCCTTGCTGGATGAAAATAATGACACAAAATTGCCATGCTTCTGGCCTCAAGTTAAGCAAGGCATGGAGACTATAAGTACATATCCTCATCACACAACTGATCATCAGGAGCAAGGCTTCTACTATTCCATGCTCAATGGAAATGTGTCTGTGCCTGAAGCCTCCAATAACGAGGACAATTTTCTGTGGGATGGTTTGTGGAACTTAAATGATGTCCATGGCAATTTTAGCTCAACATGCGCAACAGGAAAAGCTAGCTAGTTTGCACAATTTGAGTGTTCCCTTATGTTAAATCTGAGCAATCTTTGGTTTTGCAGGTATGGTGTAATATTAATAGCTAGAGTTCTTCTAAAATGTCACTAGCTTCAAGTATGGAGTTGCAAATTTTCATAAAAGGCTAAACTTTCTGCCTTTCAATTCTGTTTTGGTTGCTTAACACCAATAAATACGGTTCCTTTGGTTGGTAGCCAAAATGTTCTCTTTTTTGTTGCTTGTCTAGTGTTAACGATAGATTGAGCAAGAAATTAAACAATATAATTGAACCTCTTTATATAGAGAAATTCTTGAGTCCGATTAAGAACAATATCACTCATTCGGCTACCCATAAACAAAAAACAAATCATATATTTATACGTGAAATCTTTATTTTTGTATGTGAGTAGACGAGTGACGTGTTCCACCCACCGGACAAAAGATGAAAAAAAATCACTCACTCAATCAAACCTAATTTGTACTTTGAAAAACACGGAAGAGCGCATGACATCTTTAAATACTTTTTTAGATTTAGTACTAGGCTGGCTTATCATGTCAAGCTTTTAGTGACATTTTTGTCGTCATATTCTTTAGGAAAATGCTAGAGG